CAATGAGACATCAGTCACTTTTACTCACCTGTGCGCGTGTGTGTAATCAGGCCAATGCCTTTTGGCGGGGACATGTTTTGCGGCTGTTCTTTACGCTTAGAGCTACACAGTTGGCGATGACATGTCTAGGTTGGTGACATTAAAAGCACTCTCTCTCCTCTCTTTACATTATACACATTTAACGGCTCAGTAAATGGAGAGGCAGACACACGGCGTGACCTCTCAGTAAAGACAGAGGAAAACACGGATTTATGAGTCGGCACATATTCATCAGCTAACACAGCAGCAGCAGAGAGGGAATTACATTTTTGTTCATTTAAGTAAAATACAATGTGATCAGGCAAACATTTCTTGAACTCCTCCAACATGATCAATTCCCTCAGAGAAGAATAATCTGTAGCATTACATGAGGCAATCCATTTAGCAAACAACATTCCCTTTTCCCTAGCGAACTCTCTATGTGTGTTTGATCAGGACCCTTCCTATGGTGTCTAAACTTCTATCAATAGGCTTCAGGGACTAACTCGTACAATCTGAGAATGGCAACTTTCACCGAGTCATAACTCAGACTATCCTCCAGCGAAAGACCAGCAACCGCTTCCTGAGCTTTCCCATGGATTTTGCATTGCACTAGAAGAGCCCAGGCTTCAGACGGCCACCGCAATGCTGTAGAAATGCGCTCAAAGGCACCAAAATATGTATCCACTTCAGTCTCAAGAAATGTTGGTACTAAGGTAATATGTTTACTCACGTCAAAGGCAGGTGGATGAGGGGGAGGTGGAAACATGCCTGCGGCCTGAGGAAAAGCACCAGGTGCATGCAGTTGCGAGTCGATCTCCAGCTGATGCAACCTGACAGCTTTATCTGCCTCAATCTCCAGCTTTCTGACTTCCAACTGGAACTGTAACTGTGCCTGTCTGTTCTGCTCCTTGTCCCTCGCCTCTAACTGGAGACGTGCGAGGCGAACCTTACGTTTAACTCCTTCTCGGGAGTCTGAGCTGCCAGGGGAGGAGAGATCATAGCGAGGCAGCAGGAACGGTGCTTTAAACCGCCCGTCGTCCTCACAGTCACCACCCTCTACCCGAGCAGCTGAAGGCTCTGCCTCATGCTTCTGTCGTTCCAAACTTTCAGGCATGGCGTCGGACACAGCGAGCTCAGATTGTACAGGCAGCACCAGAAGACCCCTTTCAACTCATCCACTACCAAAACCTTTAAATCTTTCTTTAACAATTGTTTTGACACCGTGAGACTGAAGTGTTGTGCGATTTCAAATAAATCATCTTTACGACACCGGTCTAGCTGCTCATGAGGACAGACTAAGAAGAACTTGTCAACAAATGCCATACTCAGGGGAACTGCACACAAAGACCTACCAACTTGTTACCACTATAAAAATGATTTATAACCCCAGGAATTAATTAACATTATCCCGGACGAGTCCCCATGTATGCCACGTCCCCACTAGGGGATGAGGAAATGCAACACACACCAGTTGGAATTGGTAATAATTATGATGAGTTTATTAAATAATGTGTAACAAAAATGGCAGGCAAGCAGCCTGGAACAAACAAAAGGGCGCTGATTTAAATGAGGCACCAGCAAAGAGAGGACTCTAATAAGGGAGCCTGCGTAAATACAAGGGAATAGACACTAATAAAGAAAATAGCAACAAAACAACCCTCACTATCAAAGTGGTACAGACTAATGAAAAGCAGGCTGTGGGAAAACACAGCTAAACTAAATGACCACAGTCAACGTAATATTATCCTAATCTAATCACATCAATACTACACTAATTACGGACCACACGAGTTAACCACTGTTAACAGAATTTACACACGATCGAAGAGCATGTAACGAGAGGCGTCTGTTCACACAACAGAGCCTCCCGACTGATCGCTGTCCACAGGCTTTCTAGTCGTCCCTGGAAGGTGTGCGCCGGGATTGGAGCGTGCTCCAATCACAATCTTCTGGGGCGGACCAGGAGAAGGGTAGCCAATGACATCAGGGCAACCGCACAGCTCATTTACATAAGACACATTCAAAACAGAGTTACCAGGACCGGGGAGGCGGTGGCCGTAACACTAGAAATTAGATTTTCCTTCCTGAAGGATACCCCTTTCAGTGATTTCCCTGTTCTTGACCCCAGGAACGTTCCAAGATCAGACGCACAACTAGCTACATATGGTGATGTTCAGGTTATGAACATGGTGACCCACTTCAAGTCCGTTCTCAGTGAGGAGGAGGTAACCAACATCCCTAGACAGTGGCCAGCTCTCAAGGCCAGACTGAAGTACAGGCAGAGGCAGCCCCCCAAGGAGGTCATAAGTGACCTTCTCACTGAGAACCACCCAGATGTGAAGGACGTTCTGGTGTACATCATGCTCACCCTTTCTCCCTCCTCTGCTGCTGTGGAGCGTGGATTTTCCCTCATGATCCTCATAAAAACATCCAGAAAATCCCAGATGACCAATTAAACTCTTGACCCAGAGCCAGCCATCCAGAAATGGAAAACCTCTGCTAAGACCAAGAGGTATGTCAAAGCTGCCCCAAAGCCAGCTGCAGTGAACAGCAACTTACCTGTGCCTGCTGCCCCACAGCCAGCTCGGGAGACGGCTGCAGTGAACAACCACCCTGAGCCTGAAGCCATATTTTGCTGCTACTAGCAGGTCTACTAGTCCCACAGAGGAGAAAACATGATACTGTTAGTACTTAGTTGTTTTATCTTATTTTATATCTGATATTCATTTGATGTGCCTTGATGGTAGAAGTTGAGAAACCTGACACTGTGCTAGGACTACTACTAGTCTAGTGTATAATTATTGCCAAATATGAACAAATAAACAATAAAATGTTACCTACAGTAACCCAGATTCTTGTATGCTTTATATTGATAATAATATTTAAGTATTCTCTAAAAACGTTTTCTTACACTGTAAACCCTGAGAGAAAGGTTTGAGCTCCATACTGTTTCAGAAATAAAGCTTGAGATGGTTGGGAGCATAATATGGCATTTAATCACCGCAGCGTTTAGCTGAGCTTCTCCCGGGAGAAATCTCTCGCAGGGGAAAGCTGCGTGACGCTACAAAGGGGCGTGGCTAGCAGAGCAGACGTTCCATTCAAAGCAGAATCAGCCTGTTTGCAACAGGGCAGCAAAAGAGGGGTATGAGCAGTATGAGGCATGGCTACAATGGGTGATCTGTTTGGTATTTTAAGCAAAAAACTTCACAGACATGTTTCTATAGCATAATAGTTCCACTTTAAAGTAAAATGAAGAGATTGCTCTCCACAGACCAATGTGGTTGTTTGCTATTACATATTGCAACGACAAGACTTGCACGTATTGAAAGTCTCTTTTGGATAAAAAACACAGCTAGATTGAATGCTATATAATGGAAGATGAAGAGCAGTGATTCAAGATGAAGAATTGTAAATATATTGAACTGAAGAATGTCGATGAAATAGATTTTATTATTTACTCAATTTTTTGATGATAAGCTACAAACATTGTTTAAAATGTTCTTCTCAGAATAAGATTGCATCAAAATTGAGGCTTGAGCTTTTTTTTGATATTATGATTTTTGGGTCTTCCCTTTCCTGTAGTGTTATACAGGTTTGTGTGCATGTAAATGGTCTACAAAGGCTAAAATCCCTGTGTTCCCTGCAGAGGGAGTGTCTCTCCGCTGCCTGAAACGCTAACCAATCAGAGCAGACTGGTTTCAGACAGAGGTGGAAAGAGGTGCTGCAGCACAAGCTGTGGAGGGTCTCAGTGTACTTCATCAGAAATGCATGTTGGATGTCCGAACAGCTTCAGACAATACTCCTTGGTCTCCTTAAAGTATGATTTATCTCAATTACAATTATACAAATATATGGCCTTCTTCTTCTTAGTTGTAGCCGCTCTGTTCAAAATGTCTAATCTAAGCACATTTTCACTTTGATGCATCGATCTGTGTCTTTGAAGAGGTTGCTATACTTTGCCAACGACTCAGCAAGCCTGGGAGAAAAGCTGCCCTTTCGGAGCATACACACACACACACACACACACACACATACACACACACACACACACACCACACCACACCACAGGGGCTTATTGTTGGCACAATAGTTTGCAGCCCTTTTATAGAAAGAGGCTATTACAGATCGGTGGTCAGCATTTCTTTTGGAATAGAGTCGTTCAGTAGAGTTAAGGCAAACTAGCTATAAACAGACTTTTGTAATTGGGCTGTACTACCAGACCTGAGCAAACACACTGACTGCAATTTAGACACAAAGGCCCCATATTATTATAATCTTACTTTGAAGGTCTGATAACACACCAGAAATGAGTCTGTTGGACAAATTAAGAAAATTCTTTAAACTTACATTTTTACATTAGTTTTTTTTAATTAAACGTATTTAAATGTTTTCTGACCAGTGTAAATATACACATGGTATAAGAAAATAAAGTGAGTTGAGGCAAGAGGGAAGAAAGCGTAGCTTACACAAAAGTAGGTTAAACAATTATGATTTTGGTCGAAGACCTCAAATTGTAGGGCGAAATAACTACAAAAAACGTATAAAATATTCAAGAAGAAATACCTAAATTCTTCTAAAATGTTTATGTTCAGCAACTAAAAATAATAATATTGTATTAGGAAAAAAAGATTACATTACAGCAATTTTCTATAATTATTTTTCATAGATTCTCCAAAAACCATGCAAGTCTGTGTTTGATTCTAAAAATACATATTATTGATTAACTAATAAAGATCAATATTATAATTGGTCATTTACTTGAGTTTGTGTAATCTGTAAAATATTAAACACGTTCACACTAGATTGCAATAGATATGTCTTGGAAGGCTTTTCCAGTTAGAAAGTCAGTGAAGGAGTTCAGTAGTTGACGGCCAATTGCAGACATATTTCCGTCTGTCTGGAATACATGTTTGCGCTTGTGAAATGAACCCCCCTTGCTCCTTCCTCCCCTCGCCCCTTCCTCCCCTCCCTCCCTGCAGGAGTCGGTGGGAGTCCTGTCAGTCCACTTTGTGATGCCCTGGTTCCTCACACTGTTCACTTCCCTGCCCTGTTGGGACTCTGTGCTGGCTGTCTGGGATCTTATCATTCTGCATGGTGCGTACACACACATGCACAAGCACACTCATAAAACACACTGACATTTGTGTAGATTATTTTTTTCACATTTACATAGTGCCAAGTCAGGAAAACGATTGATTAAATACAGTTTTTTAAGGACAAAAAAATCCATAACTCTTTCATTTGAGCGTTATTCAGTTTTGTCCATTAGCGTGATGATCAGACTTGTTTTATGGTTTGATACCTCACATACCTAATTGTCTTTCATCCTCTTTATCAAATGTTAATAGCTTTATTGGCACGACTATAATTACATACAATATTGCCAAGGCATTGTACAAATAATGGCAATTACAACCTCCATATATATATATATATATATATATATATATATATTATTGTACAATGCCTTGGCAATATTATATATATGGAGAATATACATGTTTTTATACATTCTTAACAAAAGCTGATTTTTGACACATGTTTTAAAACTTTTTTTAAAATGTTCCCAACGGCTAGTGCCACTTTCTTAACCCCTTAAAGTGACCACACAAGAAATGTTACAGGGGAATTGCTGATTATTGTGCATGATATAACTGATGATGTATGCATATAATATATAAATAAATAAAAAGAAAAGAAAAGAAAAGGTATGCAAGATATGTGAGGCCTGGTGTAGATGGAGCGTTTCTATCCGATTCCCTCATGTTGGGCCACACAGACAAACTGTCCTGCGAGACTGCAGCTTATACATTTTGCTTCTGTTTTGCATTAACAAAGCAATAAATATGTACACTAATTTGAGTTTTCTGCCTCTTTCATCAGGTCTGTCGGCTGTGTTCCGTACTGCTCTCACCATCATGGAGCTCTTGGAGCCTCGCCTGATGGAGCTGAATGATGAGGGAGCAGTGTTACCCCTGCTGCTGAGAGTTCCTGTTGATGTGTAAGTAATGTCAGGTTCAACAAGTTTCAATTACCGCCTGGTCTGTTGGAATCAGTTTGACCTTGTTCGTTCTGAAATTCGTATTCTTAATCTGGCTTGACATGCAAAACAGATTTACTGATGATATTCTGCACAAATACACACATTTTAATGAAGCAAGCTAAAGCTGGTTACATCCCTAGCATTAGTCCATATTGCCAAACAGGCGACACTGTTTCACACAACGTACTTGTCATTAAATCAGTAAAATTATGATAAAAATGCGATATACATTTTATACCTGCATTACTGCTAGTTTGTTACACTTCATTATTATATCTGTGTCACTTACTTTATACATATTTTCATAGCTTTTGATCACATGAAAATACAGAAACACAAGCAATCACTACAACATACATTCTTTAACGTGCATTAAATATAATTTAACCTGTAAAACATTTACAACCGCTGGTTGTTTTCACTTACACGTTCGTTATACATCTGTCACTTACTATACATTTATCTTTTCACAATGTTTGGTAATCTGAAAATACTCAGGCACATCACCGCAACGTAGCTTCATACTGTTGGCTAAATATTACACATGAACATATCAGAAACTTGCAGGTTAATCTATTACAAAGAAATACAAAACTGCTTCTACAAAATAACACAGTAAATACATTCCATTGACATTCTGGTGTCCATTAGGTCCCACACATATGTGACTATCCTTAATCCACATTTTGTTTTGGACATGTTGCATGTGACTAGTAGCCATGAATATCATCCCAGACCACCCTCAAGAATGTGATCAAGTCAGTGGGCCTTCTAAAGAATGTGCAGCACAGTTCTCAGAGCCCAATTTCTGGACTCCGTCCTTAAAAAAAACCCAGGCAGCTCATGAATATCAATCAGCTCATCAGGACGGGACATATTTTGACACCAAGCATTCCAGGAAAAGCAGAGTGTCATTGTTTTGCTCTGGTTGTCTTTGTACATGTTTGGATTAAACATCCTTTATGCTAAATTAGTTGCTTCAATGGCAGCCCATTCAGTGGGACCCCTCCCTGTCTATTTGTTGAATATAAACGTCACATGCCGACGGACATGTTTTGTAGACATGGAGCCGTCGTTATGGCAACTCAGCAGGGTCACTGTGTGTGTGTGTGTGTGTGTGTGTGTGTGTGTGTGTGTGTGTGTGTGTGTGTGTGTGTGTGTGTGTGTGTGTGTGTGTGGTGTGTGTGTGTGTGTGTGTGTGTGTGTGTGTGTGTGTGTGTGTGTGTGTGTGTGTGTGTGTGTGTGTGTGTGTGTGTGTGTGTGTGTGTGTGTGTGTGTGTGTGTGTGTGTGTGTGTGTGTGTGTGTGTGTGTGTGTGTGTGTGTGTGTGTGTGTGTGTGTGTGTGTGTGTGTGTGTGTGTGTGTGTGTGTGTGTGTGTGTGTGTGTGTGTGTGTGTGTGTGTGTGTGTGTGTGTGTGTGTGTGTGTGTGTGTGTGTGTGTGTGTGTGTGTGTGTGTGTGTGTCACACTTATCCAGTTTATGATATTTGTTTTTAATAGATAAGCTGCCTTTAACTGCTTACATTTCACCCTCACGGTCCAACTGTTTGGACCTGAGTTTGTTTACCTTGGACAAAGATCTGTCCAGCAGACTCTGGATAAATGGAGGCTTTACATTTCCATAAACGTTGCTGTGTCCCAGGCAGTGATAAAGCACTTTATCATGAGTCGGGTGGGGGGAGTTGGCGTGCTGGGTACGTACCAATGTCTTGCAAAGTGGATTATGAAGGGCAAATCTTTAGGATTATGAAGGGGAACAGCTAAACAACCGTTTACCATTTGATTTAAAGGGGCCCTATGTTGCTCATTTTCAAATGTAATATCAGTATGTAGTGTCTCTACTGCCACATGTCTCTGTTATTTAATGTTCAAAAGCTCTTTATTTTTCTCACACTGCCTGTGCTGCAGCACCTCTTTTCACCCTCTGTCTGAAACCAGAGCCCAGTCTGCTCTGATTGGTTAGCTGGTCGGCTCTGTTGTGATTGGTCAACCGCTTAGGCCCTTAGCCTATCACGTACAATGTGTTGGAGCACTTGCCAATAGAAACACGAGTATTACATAGTGATGTCACTATGTTGTAGAAGTAAACAAAGGAGTCCAATAATAATTGTAACATGTTTGAGTTAATTTACCTACTTAATATCGCACGTCCTAAAAAAAAAAACCGAAAAAAAAAACCGTCCCTGCGATGTGAATATGCATGCGCATATCGCGGTTATCGCCATGACATGATATATCGTTCAGCCCTAACACACACTCAGATGCCCAGATTATCTATAATGGCTGATGTCAAACAAAAAGGTTCAATAAACTGTAAAACTAAATAAATGTCTTGAAAATATTACATAATAAATAATAAGAAAGTGTTTCCAGGGCGCATTGCCGTTGAAATATATATGCCAATAGCTTCCGTTATTTCTTTTGGTCTCTCGGCTTTCATGTCTATTTGCTTCTTAAAAACAGCGGGGATTAGCTGTTTTTATTGTAGTCCACAGGGAACCCGAAATGTTCCCACACAGCTGATTTAAAAGAAGCAGGTGGTTCTTCTAGCTCCTGTCTGTTATCTGAAATCGCTATACTAACTTTTATTCTTGTATTTTGTTCGTTTTGTTGTTTTCTTCTTCATTTGTTGTTAAGGGCGGCAGGCAAAAAGCTTTTAGGCGCAATACCGCCCCCTGGATTATATATAGCGTAATGGATTCTGCCCTGAGTGACAGACTTTTTTCCCTTCATAAAAAAGGCGTATTCGTCGTGTGACTGCACATGCCGAACCGTGACGTCCGAACCGTGATTACGGATTCCGTTACACCCCTAGAACACATACATACCTGGACTGGCTAGGGGTTTGTTGAGAGTGAGGTTTAATTGCATTTTAGGAAAAGTCAAATTAATTGTCTAAAAATGATAATTTCCTTGCAAAAACAAGGAAAGGAGGATACAAGCAGATAGCAAAAGCACTGACTGTTCCAAGCGATACATTTGGAAACATAGTTCACAAGTTCACATTTTAAAGGAACAATGGCTACACTACCTGGACGTGGCAGTAAGAGGAAGCCATCAGCGGCTGCCACCAGATTCCTGAGGAGGCCAGTGGTCAAAAACCCTCGAGTGACTGCAAAACACCTGCAGCAAGACTTGGTGGCATCAGGCACTGAGGTTTCATGCTAAACACTGGAAGGCTCCATGATCAGACTCCAAAACGAACACCACTACTGACCCAAAAGCACCTGAAATGGATGGATGTATTCAGTCAAGTTTCAGGAAATCTTAGGAAAAAATGTTAGCCGTCTGTGAGGAAGCTGAAGCTTGGCGTCCAGTTGGACCTTCCAACAGGACAATGATCCCAAGCATGCCTCAAAGTCCACTAAGGCTTGTTTTCAGAAGAAGAAATGGAAGATTCTAGAATGACCGTCACAGTCGCCTGACTTGAACCCAATAGAAAATCTCTGATGGGATTTGAAGAAGGCAGTTGCAAAACGCACACCCAAAGATATTATTGAACTGGATTACTAATACAATGGGGGTTTAATAATGTTGATTGCAACTGTAATAGGACCCCTTTAATGATTCATCAGCAACAGTTCTAGCCAGCTTTTATACTGTAACAGCACAGAAGGGTTTCTACTAGGGCTGTCAAACGATTAAAATGTTTAATCAGATTAATCACAGCTTAAAAATTAATTAATCAATCATGATTAATCACCATTCGAACTATGTCTAAAATATGCCATTTCTGTATGTATATTGTTGTGGGAATGGAAAGATAAATGAAAGAAGGCGGATATATCCATTTTAACATACAGTATGTATGTTTATTATAACAATTTTCTGTGTGTCAAAATGAAAGACAGCCCACACACCTATCAATCATCAAACCGTGGGGTCTTAATTCATTACGTGTTGATTTCTATCAACGGGGGAGTACTTCAGGAAAGTCGACAGAGGGGGGGGGGCTAGTAGAGTACTTCGTGACCACAGTGTGAACGTTGTGATCAGCTGTTTTAGCGCAGTTCTCCAGTGAAGGGGGGAGTCTCCCTCCGCAGCCGGTTGGCGTAGTTTTGGCACAATTCCGTTGTACAGACCGACGTTAACAGCAGCCCTGTCTGTGCACACGGAGACCGACTCTCGACTTGCGCTTTGACACAAGTGACGGTACTTATTTCAGATTACGCACATAACCTGCATACAAGTTATGTGCACCCCTGTACTACAGCAAAAGTATTCTCCGTCGGGACTTCCTGCAACAACACCACGCCGTTATCTTGATTCTGATTGGCCAGAAGACATTATCAAAGATGTTCTATTGAGAAGACGATCACTACGTGACAAAAGTTTTCAAAACCGTTTCTGGTCTTCGGTATTTCCAGACAAGTGGCTACTGAAATCAATCTTACTAACTGCTGTCTGTGCAATTCTCGGCGCGAGTTGGCGGACTTTATTTTGCTTACTTTAACATCATTTTTCATGGTGGGGCTAAGCCATTTCTTGGTATGGGTGTAGCCTACCCCAGCCATACCCTGGCGCTGCCACTGGTGGGATGTATGGGGCGGGCCATTCTGCACGCGTTAAATGCGTTAAATATTTTAACGCAATTAATTCAAAAAATTAATTACCGCCGTTAACGCGATCATTTTGACAGCATTAGTTTCTACATGTTTCTGTGCTATAAGGAAAGAACCAGACATTTTGATGAATGTGTGAACCTCTGCTGTTTGTGCATGCATCAAGGGCAGCATTGACAGTCCCATTCTGTTCTAGCTCTGGTGTTTAGTGGGCAGCCTGCCACAGCGTCACATTGAGAAGTCCTTTTTTTCGCCTGCTTGGCATCATTATGAAAGCCTGTTCAGAAGTCAACACTAAGTGGTCCGACTGTCTCCCAAGGCAGGATCCCCTTACACTGGGAAGATACTGTGGAAGAAATAGAGCAAGTGTAGAAAAAAAGAGAAGGGACGATGAATGC